GGAAGTTCAGACAATGGAAAGAATTCACAGACTTCATTAATACAGCGTATCAATTACCTCAACAAGCTTCTAGTTTACAACAACAACAACGATATGTTGAGTTTCCTCCACAAGTCTCACATTTAGTTCACAGGCAGCCTTAAATGATTCACGGGATTGTACAGCGTCTTAAACTAATTCACCAACCGGTGTGGTGCATTTAATCTGAGCCTCAGTTACGCAGGCTGCGCACGTCCTGCTGCCTCGGGCCGGCGGTGAAGAATGCCATTATTATTATTATTGAGTGCGGCTAATAGGAGCAGGACTCATCCATCCTACTTGGCTTACTAGCTCCTCCATCACGACCTCTTCTGCAGTGCGGAGGACAGCTTCTGCACAGACCCGACTATGGAGGACATTTTCAATCACCCTTCAGGCCAAGCTGTGCAGTTCAGCTTTCACGGTGGAGGAGACACACTATGGAAAATTGACGTTTTAATTTCTTCTATCGGTACACAAATAGTTGGATCCTTGGAATGCCGACACACCCATCAGGTGTGAACTCAAATGAGCAAGTAAATTTTTTATCTGTTTTAAAAAAAAAAAAAATGTCTATAAGCAAGCTGCGATAATTTACATATTAACTGCACTGACTTTCAGTCTCACCACCTATGAAATAATTAGCTCGGTGAAGATCCACAGCCACTTTCAAGTGACTACCCTGTCTGAACCACTATCAACCACGTCTGCAAAATTTCTGCTATCATGCCAAAGCCAAAAGGTAAGCAGAGCTGCACTGAGCTTTCTTGGATAAACAAATTAGCATTCACTTCTGATAATCAGGAAATACACGATTGCTTGTTGAAGCTGTTGGCCTGTTGATGGTGGGGACTATTTGTGTTTGAAAATTTGTCCATATGCAGCCTTACACACAGTATAGTGTGTGAAAATGCAGTGCATCGAGCTCTGTCCGTTAGGTACCCCAAAGAAAACAAACCCAAAACTATTGCCCAAAGAGGCAGCTTTCTCTGGGTTTATGTAAGGATAATGGTCATAATAGCATTGCTTAAATCCATGATAAAACCACCATGAATATGCCATCGTGTGCTTTTGACCTTTTTAACATACAAAACTCTGCCGTGTGATGATATCATCACCCGAGCGTCAGCCAACACATCACCGCTGCCATCTGCTCGGCCCTCGGGAAGTCCATCGGCCACCCACAGCTGCCCGTCTGACATCCCCAAGTCACGTCAGCCGCAGTAATTAGCGGCCGACAGCTGCCTGATGGACCCCGTGAGTCGCTCACGTAAAGGCCCCATCCTCAAACATCCATCCATCCATTATCGATAAGCACCTGCTGTCCTCGTTAGGGTGGCGGGTGTGCTGGTGCCCATCTCAACTGACCCTGGGCGAGAGAATTGCAGGGCAAACTCCAATTCACGTCAATGGACAGTTTACTGACTCTAATGAACCTTGCAAGTATGTTTTGGCAAAAGTGGGAGGACATTAGAGATGTCGTGTGCCCACTGGGCTGATATTAACCAAGAACCACAGAACTGTGATGCAAATCTACTAACCACTTGAATGCTGCCCATAGCATATTCCATTATCGGTTAATAATCGTGCGCTATCAATCATGAATACCGAAACACATTTCATTGAAGATGACTGTTCCAAGCGTGTCAACCTGTCAGAGATTTTCTCGGACAAAGTTAAAGAAATGACTCGGCACACAGGAAAATTGTCTTCAAGATCGGCGGGAGGGGATCTCTGAGAGCGAACGACGGTAGTTGCTCCGATGATCACACTCTCTCGGCTCCCTTCACGCCAATTCCGACTTTTATTGTAACATACAAGGAAAACAC